TAGAAACTATGGAAAATGATGCAGGAGAATTGTTAGTTCAAAGACAGCCTCATTCACATAACAAGGCTCCAATCAACTTAGTGAAAGCCTGTCTCAAAATATAACATAAAAAGGAATGTGGATGTATCTGAGTGGTATGCACTCCTTGGTTCACTACTCAGCACCAAACCAAACAAAACCAAGCAAATATCTCATAATTAATAGGAATTCCAGAGTACATAAATATGTAAAAATTTTGGTAGCAATATATTTTTTTTAAACTGAGAGAGAGTGAGAGAGAGAGATAATTTTTAAATATTTATTTAGTTAGTTTTTTTCAGTGGACACAACACCTTTATTTTATTTTTATGTGGTGCTGAGGACCGAACCCAGCACCCTGTGCATGCCAGGCGAGCACGCTACCACTTGAGCCATATCCCCAGCCCCAACAATATAAATTTAATAAAGATATTTATAATAGTGTTAAGGTTCTTTAAAAGCCCAAAATAAAAGTTTCACATAATCCACTAGTAATAATTTGAGGTAGCAGTGCAAGGTTGTACGTGACTATACTCCCAGTGGCTTAGGAGGATGAGAGGGAGAAAACTAGGGGTTTATTCTTAAGTTAAAGTCCAGCCTCAAGAACCTGACAAGGTCCTAATAAACCCAGTAAAACCCCATCTCAAAAATAAACAAATTAATAAAAGTGTTGGAGACTGGGTTTGTATCTCTTTTTATACACTGACGTGTTTCTGGTATTTTTCTATAACATTATAAAACAGATTAAAACAACCTCTGTGTCTTATTTCTAAAAAAGACAGGTGAGACTTTGCAATATATTATCAAAAAAATCTGTAAAAGCTTTAGAATGAAAACTATTATGCATGCACTGAGTGACCTTTAGTGAGTGATTAAATATCTTTGATTTGAAGCCATCTTACTATGAGAGTGAGTAAAACATCTAAGCTTACATTTTAAAAGCTCTGGTATAATTTAGATGGTAATGGCTTAGCATTTCTGATTCTTATTTGTTTTTATATTTCAAAGATGATATCTTGTATTTCTTATATTCCTCATGGTGCTTAGGTTAGTGTATTCCTATTTACTTTGGGACTCAAATATGTAAAATTTATTTTGTTTAGTAAAGCAAAAGCAAGTGTGGTTCCTTAGAATATAGCAAGACTTCATGAGAATGTTTTTATTTTTAATGGGAAGAATTGTCTCATTGCTAATGATTATAGAGGGAATTTACATCTTGACGACACCCATTAATCAGAAATTGTCTGAACTGACTAGATCAAAACCATTAGAAAATCATGAATAAAGAGGCAGATTAAAATATATATATATACATACGTTTTTCTAGCACCATTTTGAGTCTCCTATTAGAGTACAAATTATAGTATTTTTTACCAGTGAAAGGACTCAAACACATTTTAAGCCTCCTGTAATCACACAAGTCACCATCAATCATAATACCATTGTAAGAAAATGCCTTATGCAAAAAAAATACCTAATTATTTATGTCATACTTCTTTTAGCTCCCAGGTAAAATATCTTTGAGCTAAAGATATTCAACCAGAAGAAAGTGAAATTGTTTTCTGCTATATGAGTTAAGAACTGATATAATTATAATGTAGAGTAAGCATATTTTGACTTGGGGTTCAGTTGTTTCAAGTATAATGGCTTGAAGGAAAGCAATGCAGGAGATTTTGTCCTCCACTTCACCCAAATTGTATGGGAAAATCATGATTATTTTTTTTAATTAAAAGTGGAAGCCACAGGCCATCTACAGCAGGTATTGAAATGTCATGATGAGACATCAAACTGCATTTTTTTCTCATGTTTTTGTATCATTGATTGCTGTGGAATTTGAATATTTGAAATATAAAAACTATATTTAAAATAAACATTAATATTCTTTTGTATTTTAAGGTAATTTTAAAGCTCATGGCCTAAGGTCATAATACACAGTATAATTATCTCATATTTTTCTAATGTAATCCCAAGTCAAAGGAGTTGGGATATATTTTTCATGAAAAAAATATTTTTACTAAGTAAAATTATGTTGTTCCATGTATCATACTTTTCTATGTAGTATATGTTTGGCCTTAAAATTAATAGAAGTGAATGCCTTCATGGGGCTGCCAAAAGGTTTATATTATCTTGTCCTGGAGAATATTGTGGCAGAGTATATGGAGGATGAACCAGAAGATTTCTGAAATTGTGCATTTTTGTGGCTGGAAACTGTTGAAAGGTACATCATTGTTATTAATGAAAGAGACTGACTTAAAAACAGCAACGTTCTTTAAACGTATATGGGTAAACAAATTCTTTGTTAAGCAAAAATGCCCTGTGCAGCCAGGGATGGCTGAAATACATTATACTTAGACTCTGGCAATCTCAGTTCTTTTTTTTTTTTAAACTCTAACTAGTAAATTTTTCTAGTTCAATAAATCTCTTTCTATTCCTGTTCTTGCTTTTAAAACCAGAGGAGCAATACTTGTCTTTTGTAACTTTCTGGATTGTTTCCCAATTTGACTGCATTAAAATCTGCAGAAAACTTTTGGAAAATATTACAAAGCATACAAATGAAAGTGAATAATCTTTGATTACTTTGTGACTCTTTTCCTTTCAAATGCTGTTGTAGCTCCAAGTGGGTAACTTATTTTTCTTCAATTACCATTAACTGATTATATGTCCAATTTTCCCCTAGCATTTGGAAATGACACTTTATCCACTATTAGTCTCTTTCTTAAGTCTTTACAAGTTTTTATTTCTATATTGTTGTGTGTTGATCCAATTGATTTTTCATCTCATTTATTGTAGTTTCAGATATAATTAAATTGGTATAAATATGTCTATATTGGAGAGTGTACAATGTCTCCAGACCTTGTTCTTAGGCATATGTTGTTGTAAACTCAGTTTTTTCATGAATTCTATGTAATGTTAATAAAATTGTGAATGATATTCAATATGATTTTTTATGTATTCTGTGTATAAGAAGCTTTTACCCTATTGTAGCTGAAAAGCCAACATTTTATGATTAGAAACATAATCTTTAAATACAACCTTCTCAGTTTACCTCTTACTACTTGGTCCTCAGAAAATGAGACTATAAAACATAGCTCATTGATTATTTTGTCATAAGTGTAAGGCCTCACTCAACCTTGACTCCACATCCATTTCTCTAATTTCTGCTCTAAAATAACACTACCTATGGAATAACAAGGATGTCAGAATTTACTAATGTACATGAAAATACTGATCATTGACCTCATTCACAGAAAAATGAAATGTCTCCAATGAGGATGAAGTCTAGAAGGCCATTATGCACACAAGAAAGATAAAGCTCTTCTATCTTGTAAGAGCTACCTTTAAGTTTGTGGAAATTCAGTCTATTCAAATCACTAGGAAATGTTAAAATATTAAAACATTAAAATTTTAAAATTTATAAATCAAGATATGAAAATCTGGGGCTTATTTTCCTATATCGATATTCTTCTTAAAACTCTTAATTTCACCATAAATACAAACAGAAAAAAATAATGATCTGACTTATATAAATTGTATTCCACATTAAGTTTGATTAAAATGTGTAAAAGTATTAACAGATGCTAAAGTATTATTTACTCAACAGTATGTTTTACTGTTACATAGAAAATTTAGTCAAGGGGAACACTATTATGTCTGTCATTTAACAACAGTATGCAATACATGAGTGTTAACATATAAACAAATATTCAGTTATGAAGACATATTGAATACATAAGGTAAATATAGGTAAAAATATTCACTGTAAGCCTGGCATGATGGTCCATGCTTGTAATCCAGCAAATTGGGAAGCTGAGTGGTTTCAGAACTTTAAATTTAGCCTCAGCAACTTAGTGTGGTTTCAAGCAATTTAGCAAGATAGTCTCAAAATTTGAAAAAGTGGAGAGAGGGCTTAAGAATGTGGCTCAGTGTATAAAAATACCTAAACGTAAACTGAAATACAAAAAAAAAAAAAAATTAAATTAAAATATTACACTTCAGTGTTAAACATCAAAAATAGATTTCATATAATTTTTTCTCAGTATTCAAAAGTGAAAATAGTAATGTTTGAATTAGAAAAACAATTATATTCTTTCAAAGATGAAGTTTCTTCACTATGAATGTATGATACTTATGACTGATATTTCTACAAAATAACTTGATAATGCTTAATAAATTTAAGCAAAAGTGAAAGACAACTACTTGTTTTTTAAACTTAAATGAGTTCTGTATTTTACTGATCCTCATATACATCAATGTGTAATATACAGATAATAACTTTACTCTCACATTTATTATAAATGTTTTATTGTTATATAAGGCATATATTTTGGGCAAAATCTGTTCAATTTTTACTACTAGTATAAGTTTTCATATGTTCAATGAATTTAAAATTTAAATACATTTTTGATATATTATTTAACTTTTTAGCATTTCTGGGCACAATGAATTCGCCAAAAATAAGCAGTGTTTAAGAAACATGTAGCTACAATTTTTTTTCCATTTGTATTTTCTCTAACCAGTCTGTATCCACAGGTTCTGAGTATTGGTAAATAAATTTTGGAGGAATTGTCACATTGTCAATTTTCACATTTCAAAACTATCTCTATGCTATGGTTATAGTGGTGATGATTAAATGTCGTCCCTTTCTTAGAGTAATGGTACAATGGTCTCATTTGTATAGCTTCTCTCCAGTGTGTTTTCTCAGATGTCTAGTAATATATAATATGTAATTTAAAATCTTTCTACATTCTCTACATTTATATGTCTTCTTTCCAGAATAAGTAGCCTAGTGGTGAAAATAATTAATTTCTTATTAAAAGCTTTGCTGCATTGTTTCAATTTGTAGAGGTTCTTTTCTGTATAAATCTTATTGTTAATAACGTTTAGTTTTTCATTTTTTTAATGTTTATTTTTTAGTTGTAGTTGGAAACAATACCTTTATTTCACTTATTTATTTTCATGTGGTGCTGAGGATAAAACCCAGAATCTCACATACGTGAGGCTAGCACTCTACCACTGAACCACAACCCCAGGCCCAAGATTTACTCTTTCTTTAAAAGTGTTATCACTTTATTCACATTTCACATTCACCAGGATGTCTTCTGCTGCGGTGAATAACATTTTATTGTTTTAAAAAAGCTTTTCCACATTATTCACATTTGTAGGGCTATTCTCCAGTGTGAGTTCTATTGTGGCAAATAAGGACTGTTTTATTGCTAAAAGCTTTGGCACATTTCTTATATTTGTAAGGCTTCTCTCCAGTGTAAATTTTCCTGTGGTCAATAAGGTGTAATATTTGAGTAAAAACTTTGACACATACTTTATATTTGTGAGGCTTCTCTTTAGTGTGAGTTCTGTTGGGGCAAATAAGGTGTGATTTTTGACTGAACACTTTGCCACATTCTTTACATTTGTAAGGCTTCTCTCTAGTGTGAGTTTTCTGTGGCAAATAAAGCCTGTTTTTGAGTAAAAGCTTTGCCACATTATTTACATTTATAGGACTTCTCTCCACTGTGATTTCTTCTGTGGAAGATAAGGTGTAATTTTTGACCAAAAGCTTTGCCACAATCTTTACATTTGTAGGGCTTCTCTCCAGTGTGAGTTCTCCTGTGGCGAATAAGGTTTGATTTTAGACCAAAAGCTTTGCCACATTCTTTACATTTGTAGGGCTTCTTTCCAGTGTGAGTTCTGCTGTGGCAAATAAGGCTTGATTTTTCACCAAAAGCTTTGCCACAATCTTTACATTTGTAGGGCTTCTCTCCACTGTGATTTCTGCTGTGAAAAATAAGTTGTGATTTTTGACCAAAAGCTTTGCCACATTCTGTACATTTGTAGGGCTTCTCTCCAGTGTGAGTTCTCCTGTGGTGAATAAGGCTTGATTTTAGACCAAAATCTTTGCCACATTCTTTACATTTGTAGGGCTTCTCTCCAGTGTGACTTCTGCTGTGGTAAATAAGGCCTGATTTTTTACCAAAAGTGTTGGCACATTCTTTACATTTGTAGGGATTTTCTCCATTGTGGTTTCCTCTGTGGTAAATAAGACCTTTTATTTTACTAAAAGCTTTACAACATTCTTTATATTTGTAGCGCTTCTCTCCAGTATAAATTCTCTGGTGGTGAACAAGGCCTGATTTTTTATATGATTTCTGGTGTTCACTCTCACTTGTAGTATTCCATATTTTTTTTTGTGGTAAATAGTCAAGATGACAACTTCTATATTTTGCACTTATCACTTCATGAAATATATGTTTTAAGCCCTTTTCTGGTGAATATTCTTGGGTATGATTAGCAGTCATGGCTGAAATAAACAAAAATTTAAAAAAATACCTATTAGACTGGGATAAATATATTCTGCATACATAACATGACATTAAGGTAAAATAAGTACATCAGGAGTGTAGCAAATTAGTAAGTTCAAAGTCACCATAAATCCAAAAAATATATTAGTTGAATAAAAATATACAAAATTACCTTGAGAATATTACCAAAATTCTTGTAGAGACCACAGTATCCAAGAGGAGTACATCATTAAGAAGAGTAATATAATAAAGTGTAGAAAAGTATCATGAACAGCCTTTTGTCCTCTATAAAATAGTATTGTGTATTTAGGAAATATCTACCACCTACCTTCACTGTCAGTAGAATAAGAGGAATGTAAAACATATACAAACATTTCTGGCTTTTTCAAAGAGTGTCCAAAAAATATTTTTTTTTCTACTATGACCTAGAGACATGAAAATAACTAGTAGATTTTGAGTGATAATACCATAAATATTCAACAAATGTAAAGAGGCAATAAACTCTTAAAAAGAAATATGAACAAAAAATTTACTAAGTAATATACACATATGTCTATAACATTTATCATAAAAACATTTTTAAAAGACTATAAACCCTTGCATAGCCTATGGCCATAATACTTGGATGAATTCAACATATGACAGTCAAGTATAATAAATTGATTTTTATATTTTTACATTCATGTGATATGAGAATTTTCTTTATTTTCAAATACAACTTTGTTTATTTATAAATATATCATGGTATTTTATACTATATATACAAGGTAAAAGGACTAAATAGAATAAATTAACACAATCATTATTTCATATAATTATCAATTTTGTACTTACACGGTATTGTATTCCTTTTACTAGTATTTATGAAGAACATAATACACTCACTATGTCGTAAAATAAAACTCTTAAACCTGTTATGCTCAATAAAGTAAAAATATCAAGACTTTGACTATAATATCAACCCTACACAAAACACAGTACCTGGTGAGCAAAATTTTGCTCACTAAATATCTGACATCCACATGTGAATCAAATGCTTCTACAACTTAAGATCTGTCTGCCACATTGCACTTAATGCAAAGTCCTGCATATATTTCTTATAACACTATTATAGACAAAATATTTTATAACTAAATAATAATAGTATATAAGTACATATTTTTACACATTTGACATTGATGGGCACACACATTGAGTCCCTAGCTTAAATACTGAGAAAAATATTTGCACTAAACACAAAAACAGAAGTATCTCTTCAATTTTCTGATTTAATTGTTCATGGATACATATTTAATACTGGCAATTCTGGATTTTTAGGTAATCCAACTTTTAATGTTTCATGTGTAATTCTTGAGATTATCCCAAAAATTCTAAATCACAAACTACAACACAAGTCTTTTTAAAATTGTTTGAGCTATGTTGTTTCTAAATTTCTGTGACTTCTCTCAAATGAAGTACTTTTTCATGGCCTCCCAATTAGCAAATATTAAAAGGATGCAGAACTGTTCTTGCCTATTTTTATTTATTTAAACTTTTTATACTTTTTTCCCAATCTACTGATGGATCCTTTAATAAACCAATAAAAAATAGGACAGCAAATATAAACAAAGATAAGCATGGCTAAATCCAAGTGACAAAAAAAAAATAAATTAAGAATTTAACATAAGGATACTGAGAGTTATGAATTACTCAAAGAACACTAAATAACTATTTAAAAAAAGTTTAGAAAGTCAAATTGAAAAATATTAACATCAATGAGCACAATGTTTATGTGAATAATTCTTTAAGAAAAAATAAGAGGGACATTCTTACTGTGCAAATCTGAAATTCTACCAATATGGGAGAGGCTAATCTAGCAGTACCAAGTTTAAGACAAGTCTAAGCAACTTGTAAAATACTGTAAAAATTAAAAATCTATAGGATATATAAAGAGAAGTGGGATGGATATATATATATATATATATATATATAT